GATCAGATTGTCCTCCACTGCCATAATGTTCTTATTCTGTTCTTTTGGCATTTTTTCTATTTTGGTCTGTTGGTTTTTATTCTTATCGTGGTCTCTCAGGCGCCACTGGCGAGACGGGCGGCTGTAGCAATCCGTACGATCCATGAAAATAAATAAATAACCTTGGTTACTCCCCGGTGGAAGGTGTTGGGCAAACACAGGCCAATGGGTTCCTCCGTGACCCAGGTGAAGGTGTCCTGTGCCAATGGGCCACAAATTAATGCGCAATGGAGGCTGCGGGCCGGTTACTCAGAGTGGATTTTGCAAACTCCAGATGGGAGCTGCTCTGGGTGCAAATGATGGCTAAGCCTTGGGTTCCCTTGCCAGAGCTGGCCAGGATGGGGGACAGGGTGGAACGGGAGCACCCGTGTTCCCGCTGGTTTAGAGGTTTTGCAGACCCAGACACGGAAGGAGAAAAGCTCCCAATTTAGAGGGTGAGCGTTTGAGAGAAGCCCCCACCTGTTTATTTGAAGGCAGAGCGGGCCCTCCCATCTTTGGCCTCCTCCTTGCACCTGCCTTGTGCTTAGATATAACCCCCCCCCAAAGAAAACCCCACTAAATACCCAAAGGCTAAATCTGCCTGCACAGTCCTGCCCCCACTGCCCCCCGTTCGGCATCCATGGCTGCAAAACTGGTGTCATCCGAGGCCAGGCGACCCTCCCCAGCCGCAGAATGTGGAATTCCTGCCCGCGGCAGCTGGCCGGTCCCTGGAGGAGCACCTGGCCGTGAGCCGCAGACACCGCGGCTCTCTGCTCGCCCCGGTTTCCATTCCAGGAGGGGCAGGGAGGAAGGGGTCTGGCGGCCTGGCTCAGACACCAGGTGTGAGCTTGTTTTGGCCCCGCGCGGCCACTTCAAAGGGTGGCATTGTGCGCATGGAACTTCCCTATGTGGTGCCCTTCAGCTCGGGGGGGGGGGTCAGGCTGGAGCTAGCCTGAGAGATGCTGCGGGGGTCTTGATCGGAGGAGCACACATCCAGACACGCCGCATTTCTTTTGAAGTTCCTTCTTGCCTTCCCATCAATGAACAGGAAACCTGCTTCGCTCTTGTGTGCTATTTCCCAGGGAGGGGCAGGGAGTTCCAAGGGCCCCGATGGCCCCACGCGCAGGCTGATTTCCATCGGAGGTCGATAGCTACGCATTAGCCACACCGGGTTGCCTTCGGTTCTGTTTCTGAACCTCCAGGCTGAGCACAAATCGGAAGAAAGCGAGCAGAGCAGGGCTCGCGATGCCCAGCGGATGCCCAGCTATCTGGTGGCCAGGGTCAGGTTCCCCGCCCCATCTCATTTTCTTTTTGCATTGGGATCCTGGCGCAGAGACGTTGGGAAGCTGGCCCACTGCAGAGATGAAGGCGGAAAACGGGTGTCGGCGGAGTTGGGTCAAAGAAGTCAAGATGGTGGGCACAAGGGTGCAGTTGAAACTCTGCTTGCTTTTTAGGCACGGTGCACGTAACACAGAGATGGGGCTTTGACCACACCGCCCCCATCCTGACTGTTTTGACCAAACCCAGGATACAGCCTTGCTGTATGCTGGATCTTCAAGATTGCCCAATGTCCCTTGGAAAATACGGGGGGGGGGGGGGGGGGGGGGGCAGGATGGGGGCTACAGCCCCATGCTTTATTGGCAAGAGGATGCCATGGGAAACTGAGGTGGCCAGGAGCCTCCTGGGGAGACATTTAGAGGAACGGCAGAGGCAATTCATGACATCAATCATGGAAGCCATTTTGTGAGAACGCCTACGGTGGGCTTTTCAAATTCCAAAGTGTGTCCAATGGTTGAAAAAGGCCATCTAATGTTTAGGCCAGTGTTTCTTAACCTTGGCCGCTTGGAGATGTGTGGACTTCAACTCCCAGAATTCCAGCAAGGCTGGCTGGGGAATTCTGGGAGTTGAAGTCCACACATCTTCAAACGGCCAAGGTTGAGAAACACTGGTTTAGGCTGTTACTACAGTGGTAGCCCATGACTAAATTTGGCCATTCTAAAAAAAGCTGAACCTCAGAGATGGTTAGTGCTTGGATGGGGGACCAACAGGAAATCAGATATAGACTCAACTGGGAAGAGTAAAGGAGGAGGAGGAGGAAGAGGAGGCAGAAGCACTTGATATCGTTGCCCCAAAAGTGGATAGTCCTATCCTAGCAGGGAGGAGCAGCTGCTTCAAGGGTGACTTTATTTAGTACCCACCCAGCCTACCATCTCATCCGATTGCCCAATTCTCCCTGTGTCTCCAAGGAATCCACCCAGGTTCTGAATGGGTGCTTCCAGCAGTCCCTGCCAGAATCACCTTTTTCCAGGGGTGGGGGTGGCAGCAAGCCAAGTTGAATAAAGGGGCGGCGGTCTTAGCCGGGCCTGCCAAACCCTGTCCGTTTCTGCTGACCCACACCTCTTGGAGAGTCACTTTATCTCACTGGGAAATGATTCAACCGTTCCTAGGAGCGTGGCTGCCGCTCCTGTGAGCACCGAGTTCCAATCCCATGACAGGCATCTTTGCTGGCTCGAGAGCGTTGATGAGGGCGAGGCGAAACGAACCCAGAGAGGTGTTCATCTCTGGAGAGACCCCTTTGTCTCTGATAGGAGCCATAAAGACTGAACACAGAAGAACTTGCCTCCGTGGGCAACCGGGAACCTGTTGCACTCAGGAGAGGCGCCTGCTCCTCCAAAGGTGGAGCGCGCGGCTTTTGTCCTCTTCAGACCCTCCCTTTGCCCTGGACACTCCGCTTTCAATCCCTCGAGGTGGAAGTTCTCCAGCCCCGTCAGAAATCACAAGCACAGGGCAGGGAAAATGGAAAGGAGAAAAGGAAAGAGAATAAAGTTCTTCAGGTATTTGACTATTGCGAACTCAAACCTGGGATCCTTATCAGATGTTTGGGCTGGGAGCAGCCCACTAACTGGAGATGTCAGGAACCGAACCCAGGACTTCTGGTCCCCAGAGTTGGATGCTGTTCCACTTCCTAGTGATGAAGATCACCTGCATTTAAAATTAAAACATTTTGTCCAGTTTGGGGCTCATGACAGTCATCTTCAGGAGCGGGGGAAATCTTGGCTGAGACCCCACGGATGGCATATTTGGCCACACAAAGCCGTTTCTGAGTGAAGGCTTCCCAGCCTTCAGAATTGACTTTGGGGGGTGCTGTGAATAGAAACCTCTCCTCCTTTGACACACTGTCTGTAAAGAGCTCAGGAACACGGATTAGAGCTGAGAGCCGGACCTCAGACAGCTGAAGCATGGCACCCTCACTCAAACAACCCCAACTTAAACAAAAAAGTAATTACCAAGTGCCTTTGACCTTTCAAAAACGCCTTTTCCACACTGATCTGCTGATGGACAGTTCTGTGATTCACTGAAAAAGTGCGAATTCCACGCAGCTCCCAGCTGGCTGGGTTAGGAAGCCTGTTTTCGATTTCGGTTATTTATGCTCGCAGATGGCTGCCCTCTGTGCCAAAGACTCTCCCGGAGGCCGAGCCTCTCTCAAGGCCTTCAAAAAGAAAATTTCCAGAGCAGACAGGCAAACAGAAAAAGAGAGCACGAAATGCTGTCTGATTAAGCTGGCAATAGGTCTTTGAGCTTTGGGACAGGGATCTTTCCTCGCCACGGAGAGATTCTAGTCCTCATGGTTCTGAACAAAGCCCTGCCTGACATAAGAACAAGCAAGGATGCTTCACCCCAAGCGGAGGCTATGGTTTCATCTAGACCGGGGATGCCAGACCTTTAGGGCTCGGTGTGTCAAAAATTTGGAAAATGCCTCACTTGACTCTGCTGGCGTGTCACCCCTCCACCAAACAAAAGAGAAACAATTCTTTACATATTCAGTTATTTAAAAAAAATACAGTCCAGTCATGTGTGGTGCTATGTATTATATAAAGAAATGTCAAATAATTACAAAAATGGAATACAAGTAAAACCAACTCAGTTCCTTTGGCAACTCAAACAGGGAGAATTGTGGTTGTCGGGTGTTGGTGAACGCTCATGGTGTGTCACCTTTGGCACGCGTGTCGTAGGTGTGCCATCCCTGATCTACACCCATCGTGATTAGGTGCGTTCAGCCCTCCTAAAGGATTTCAGAGAGGAGTCTTGCTAAGCCAGGCCTAAAGATGTTGCATGAGTCCAGCCTATTATTCCTATTATACGGGGAAAGATGGGGAAATCATTCCTATTATAAGGCGAAATCTGGCCGAATGGTCCTATTCTATGGGGAAATGCGGCCACACTGTTTTGAGGATGCGCCCTGAGGTGCAACTGCCGCCGGTCGTCCCCAGGGCGGCTCGGCCCGAGGAGGCGTTTGCCGGCGGGTCCAGGCGTCCTTCAGCCAAGCCCGCCGCCCACGGCCC